GAAAAATCGAGAGCGCAGACTCGAAGAGGGGTGGTCGCACCTCGGAGGCGGGTAGCCTTCGGGATGGAGGTCTGTTTTGGTATTAAAATTAAAACAAGCAAAGTTCACGAGAGGATAGCACTTTGGCAAGGTTTCGAAAACCTGTTGGCTCAGGGGGCCAGATGAGCTGCTTATCAGTTCTAGAGAACCATTTCTTCCCGCTTTATCATCACGGAGCAGGGCCACAGAGTCTCCACTCTGCTCCGTCCTCTATGGTATGTTGCAGGGAGTTGCTGTGTGAGTGGATTCCTTGCATGCCTGCTGCAGCTGTGTCCCATCCTCAGAGCTCCTTTTGATTTCATGCTTTTCCTCAATGGGTGAACACTGCTACGTTTTTCATATAAACCTTAATTTTCAGATGTAAAACCTTAATTTTACTAATAATTCCACATCAGGTGAGGCATACATGATAGTTTACCTAAAACATATCTCAGTGAACCCAGCCTATGAAGATCCTGGCTGGTTTCTTTCATTCTGAGAGTTAGCATGTCGCGTCTGTGCCTGGACTGTAGTTGAAGTGGATGAACTGCAGAGAGGGATCGATCCCTTAGGACAATTCTATTGTGGCTCTTCTCCCCCCTTCTGCTCCTCTAGATGTTTTATGGAGGAGCCGAGATGAACCATGCCATTCTTGTGTGCCTTACCTGAGGATGCCTATGATCTGGCCTTCTCCTTTTTCTCAATACCTGGACCAGGAAAGAGCTGTGGTGCTTCGGCAAGGCATCGCAGGGCACCCACACGCACTGCTTGCAGCGATGCTAGCACAGCTAGGAGAAATCTTTACTACAAAGAATCAGTGGCAACAGGTTTCGGTTGGCTTCAGTGGAGATGGAATTACTCCCCTAACCAGCACGGTCTACGCCCTTGGCACCTTCTCTGCTTTTACGTTGACTTGTTTTTAGGGCTGTGACTTCCTGAACTGCAGCAATGCCAGTAGTGTCCCAGGAGGATATTATGTAGTCCAGAACAATTAGGAGCCGTAATTCCCAGTGCACCCAAAAAGCAGTTTTCTGAAGCTGTCCCTGTCCCTCTTCTACCTTCTAGATTTCTACAGCCAGTTACCACCTTTGTCTGGCCTGTTTTTTCAGGTTTGCTGCTTCCACTTACTCACTTATATGCTCCAGGGCCCAATCTGAAGCTGCTTGTCCATCCTTGTCAGTCCCAAATGCCTGCCAGAGGAAGGCATGTCTTAGGCATTGGTGCGGAGATTAGGGCTGGACATCCTTTGTTGCTTGAATGATGGCCTCTGGGGAAAAAAGAGAGCTTGGAGGAATGCCAGTTGCACTGGAAGTAGTGAGAATAATTAGCTACTGGTGTGTTATTGCTTAATGTTAATGGCAGTTTGTTTGCTGACTGTTTTAGAGATGAAGTCACTTCCTTGAAAAATAGAAAATTGAAATGGCCACAACTGCACAATAATTGGGGAATAGCATGGTGAAAATACTAGTATTTCTAATGATTTCTTTCTGCAGTATGGAGAAACACGCTAAGATGCTATTAAGCAGTCCTAAAGAACTGGGGGTTCGGGCGTGGGGTTTTTTGGGAGTTTTGCTTTTTAAACGAGCTTGCTGGAACTTGGAAGCAATCGACAATTCTGAGCCCGGAATATCAACTGGTGCTCACTCCTTTGTTTGCTGTAATATTCCAGACCTGTGTCATCCACCAGCTGGGCAAGGAAGGAAAGGAGAAGGATCTTCAGATGGTACTGTCTTCTGGCCCACTGTACTGTCAAGAAGGTGGAAAGGGTCCAGAAGTATTAGCAGACTGTTTTCCACAGACTTTAATAGATAACTGTCTGACAGTTTAATTTATGTTGCAGCTAGTCCTCCTCGGCCTGTGTCAATAGAAGAGCTCGTGGAAACAGCTAAGGGAGTAACCAACATGGCATTAGCACACGAAATTGTTGTTAATGGAGACTTCCAGATAAAACCAGCTGAATTACCAGAACATAGGTAAGATTGCTACCAAATAGATACATAAATTAAATTTGCATTTGTGGAACTGCAGAACAGTTCTAGTGGATTAAGTAGACGCTCTGGCTAGTATCTTGCCTGCCAGTGCTTGGCAGGAGATAGGAAAGAGCATAAGAAAAAGCATGTAAGCATGCAGTTCTGCTTCTCCAGAAGTGTGTGCGTGTGAAAGGTGAACCTCTTGGAGTAATTGTTTAGGCATGTGTGGTGCGAATCCCAGCGTGATGTGGTTTCTGTGGGTGTCCCCTTGTCCCAGGAGCCTGAGATTGCAGTCTTCTGAGTACCTGAGTCTAGCTGCAGATGCAGGTAGTGCTCTCAGCATCTTTGAAGCTTTCACTGCCTGTGGGAGTAAGATGAAACAGGTCATTTTAGCTTTTTCTGAGCTTAACATCCGTTTCTCCAGGGATTTTGTGGGGAAGAGATTCCTGTGTTTTACAAGGTTAGTCCTTTCTCCTTTTAAGTTTGAAGTCTTTCCTTCTCTTTCTGACCTACAGTAATTCTGTCCCCTGCTGAGAGGAGAGAGGGAGAACAGAAGAGGCCTTCATGTCTGGTCGCATTTGGCCAGCATGGCTGACCCAGTTCTGATGTCTGGTCGTGTATTGGCCCGCGTAGCTGACCCAGTCCTATTGACAGGTGCTTCATCTGCTGCTCCTTTTTCTTTCACACACAGAGAGATGTGGCTGACAGCATGTTTCCTGGGTTAATTTGTGAAAGTTGAGTGCATATTTCATGGAAGAAACTTGGTCCACATTGGAACCAGTGTTGTCTGTAGGTGTCTACATTTGAGAGAGAGACCCCAGAGTACATCACCTTCACGGGTGCTCTTAGAAGGCTGGCATTGGTTGTCCTCTGCAGAAAGTGGTCGCACTGAAACAAAAGGTCTCATGCCCATCTCTGCCAAAACAAGGTGACGGTGGTTCCTATTAGTGTTAGTAATGAGAGGATGTTGCTTGCAACTGGAATTGTCCCTGACTGAAAAGGCAGTAATGGGAACAGTCTCATCTTCCCTGCTTACCTGGACTAGTGGTTTTTTATTAATTAATGTGGACTGCTAAATAATAATAACCAAAGACAATACAGTTGTGCTATTAAATACACTGAATCTTGTGGTCACAGGAGGAGTTGTCTCTGAGTAAGGGTTGAAGGGCCTTTGTTGTACTTATTTCACTTGTCTCAGCCTCTGAGTTGGTAGGAAATGGAATCGTGGCCCCCTTAAACGCTGAGGATGAACAACATTTAGCTGAGCTAGCCCATGATGATAGACATCTCTGTTGTCCATCAAGACTCATATACTTTAGAGCTCAAGCGATGATTTGATCTGTCTTCCCAATGCCGTCTTTCAGTGTCCACCGTGTCTGTTAGACCCAAGCAATGTGGTCCAGTCCTCCTTTGTTCCCTTACTTGCATGTCGTGTGCAGTTCACGTGTGATCCCATGGGCTGGGACCTGTCTCTAGCCCACACAAATGCTGCTTCTGAAGCACGCATTTGGAAAGTACACCTGAGATGTGAAAGGCTCATACTCCCTGTTCTACGTTATCTTCTCTGTCCCAGCATCTTCTGAGGGGGGGTTCCATCAAGTGTTTTCTGCTCAGCAGTTGATTACTGGGAATAAATGCTCCATCTAAAGTCCCACAGTTAAGAGAGTGCTGTTTTGTTCAGTGTCTGCTTCTCCTCCGTGTTCCTTCACGTGGACTTCTCACATGAAAATGTGCTGTGATAATGGACAACTTCTCTGGTATGCCTCAGTGCCATAAAATTGATTTCAACATTTTTCAGGGATGAAGGATTTTAGCATTTTTTCTTTTTTCCATCCTTTTTTCTTTCCCCACCCCCTCAAAAGAAAAGAAAAAGGAGGGAAAGAGCTGGGGACCTATGCTGCATTTTGGAAAGTTGGATGCTTTTGCTCGCTGATGCTGAGCAGCGGCTGCTGTTGTTCACCAAAGTGGCTGATTTGCATCTCTTCACCTGATCGCAGAAGCAGATCTACTGCAGAGGTCACCTTGCTCAGGAGCGCCTGGGCTTTGTGATGGGCCAGGCCTGCTTTAGGACAAGATCCCCGTATCTGGCGTTGGTGAGGGTTTTTGTTGCAGCTCTTTACCACCAAGAAATGAAAGAGCAGTCATTCAGATTTTGCTTGAAGAGGGACTCTGGAATTTTCCTTGGGTTAAATGTTTTGTGTGTGTGTGTCTATAGCTTCGACTCGCCCCCAGCCTGAACGTGCGGGCAGTCGAGTGGCTGGAGGAGAAAGCGGTTGTGGCTGGTTCTGCAGTTGGATGCACTGTCAGTAGAGCAGGTGTTGGCTGGTCTTAGAGGGCCATGGGGCTCAAGTGCCTCTGGGCGCTGCCTGAGCCTCAGCTGCATGTGGAGCCAGAGCCTGGGGCATCTGGTGTTTGTTGTGGGCTTTCTTTGTGTGCGCACGTGTACATGTGAGCGTTCTACTTCTTCAGTGCTGAAATTAAACCTGGTTTGAACAGGAGTCTGCTTTCTGAAGAGGAGTAACTTTCAGTATATTGAATTAGGAATTAATACTGAAGCAGTGGAATTCATTGAATTTTTTTAGACAAACTGAACTGGGCCTTTTTCTCAGAGTAGTTGCAATATTTATGCGTTGAAATGCAGAAGTTTTTGTGTCAGGGAAGTTACTTCATTTCTGTTAGGTTTACTTAATGAATTTTACTGAGTAGAATTGCATTTACTTAGTGAGGCTTTTGAAGGAACATGAATACTGGTCTTTTGAAGACAAGCTGTAATTTTTGTGATTTTTTTTTTTTTCCTTCCAGTTGTTTACTTTAGAGGTAGCATATGATAGATACTTTCAAGGATTTTAATTTGCAGCTGCCTTTGCTTGTGTGTAACCCTTTATTAGGATATAAGCCATTCCGAATCCTGTGTCCAGTTTTTCTTGCTTTTCTGAGTAACTTAAAATGACAGATGTCTTCTCTGTTAAGCATCATATATTAATTATGACATATTCATATTGTTACATGCTGTTCTTCAGGAGCTGTAGGTTATCTATGTAAGGTGGTGCAGAGACAAGTATTGTTCTTTTTAACTGGTCATATTTACCCACAGCTTGGAAAAAAAAGTAAGAGATATTGTGCATAAAGCTTTCTGGGATTGTCTGGAAGCTCAGCTAAAGGAAGATCCACCAACATATGACCATGCAATTAAACTATTGGGAGAAATTAAAGAGGTAAGATGATGTGATATCAAGGTAAATTATTGAATTTGTGTAGCTGCATTGATATGAATGGGCAAACGTGGGTTTAAGCCTGGCTTTTCATAAAGGACTTTCTTGATCTTTTTCATTACTGTTTCATTGTCTGTGAACATATAGAAGTTGCATAACCCCAGAGAAGAAATCTGAATTTGTAAAAACAAATGCAAAACCATGTAAGACGAATAAAAGTTAAGTAATGCTAGTTTCATAATTCCAGGCTTCCTTCATATTGACAGTGGTATTAGTTACGGAATCAATGAGACGCCCAATGTTGGGCTGACAGAACCAAGCATAATAGTCTTAAGTCAGACTCTTTTCAGCGGTGCCCAGCGACAGGACAAGGGGCAACGGGCACAAACTGAAGCACAGGAAGTTCCATCTGGACATGAGGAAGAACTTCACTCTGAGGGTGACGGAGCACTGGAACAGGCTGCCCAGGGAGGTTGTGGAGTCTCCTTCCAAGACCCACCTAGACGCAGTCCTCTGCAGCCTGCTGTAGGTGACCCTGCTTTGGCAGGGCGGTTGGACTAGATGACCCACAGAGGTCCCTTCCAACCCCTAACATTCTGTGATTCTGTGCTTCTATGGAGTGTGGTCTGTACTGCAAAGTATTTACCATTTAGTAACTTCAGTATCACACAAAATGAGGTGAAACATTTGGAGCTCGTGAATGGTTGGGTTTTTTTTTTTTAAAAAGAAGGAGATTCCACTTGTAAAGGGCAGTCAGTTTAAATAAAAAGTGGTTCAATAACTGTTTTGATCCTTGTAGTCTTTGATATGTAGAACTAATGCACTGTTAAAAACTTTTCATTTCAGAATCTCCTGTCTTTCTTGTTGCCTGGCCATACTAGACTGAGAAGCCAGATTACAGAAGTTCTTGATCTGGATTTGATAAAACAGGAGGCAGAGAATGGGGCTCTTGACATTTCAAAGTTGGTCGAATTTGTAATTGGGATGATGGGGGCTCTTTGTGCTCCTGCTCGAGATGAAGAAATTAAGAAACTGAAAGATATTCATGAAATAGTTCCTCTGTTCAGGTACTGAAATGGTATTTATAGGTCGTGTTGAGAGTCCCTTAAATAATTTTAGACTGGGGGGGGGCGTGTTCCAGCAGGGCAACCTGTAAATCTTTGTAGAAATAAAAGAGTGATATGGAAAGGGGGAATGTGGGTGTGAAGGGGAGAGATGCTCCAGAAGTCTCTTTGTTTTTGTGAATTGGAGTATTTGTCTGACTCCTGCATGTCACTGAATGACGTTTTCTGAAATGCCAAATGCATATTAGCCTTAAGATAGCAGGTGAATGGTCAGTGTATATCAGAATTTAATACTAACAGCAGAAGGGGGGGAAAAAAGCAAGCAGGAGCATAGTAAAAAGGTATTACTGTACTCCAACCTTCCTTTCCCCTAATTTGAGCTCTCTTTAGCCGCCGTGCCGCTCCCTGTATAATATCCTTTCCATTCTAAAGGGAGTGTACATACGGCATCTGGGAGTGTAGAGGCTTCTGCTTTGTCACCATGTTCTCAGCTGAACAGGTCAAGGTCTCAGTACTTAGAATAAATTTCGTTAACCTTGTTGTTTTCTAATTTGTTAAGCTTCCAAGAGTTCAGAATTGACTTGGCAGAAATATTGCCAGCAGCAATTGGGTTGCTTTGAAATTAAGGTGGTTTTCTTTTTTTTAATTTTTTTTTCCTTTTTTTTTTTTTTTCCCTTGGGTCTGATTATTCACTTCCCACTGAGGTTGGCTTTATAGGCTGCCAACAGAGATAGTACGCAAGCTTGGAAACCCAGATGTCTTTTTATGTATTCAGCATACGATATTGCACATCCGGGTAAATATAATCTATGGAGCTAGTAAAGTTAAAGTTAATTCCGTGGAAGCATTTTTACAGGAGAGCAAGTTTCATTTCCTACTTGGACAAGGCACGTGCATGCGTGTACAGGCTTGCTCAAGCTTTCTCTCTGTCTCATGCTTTTAAATTAAGCACCCTGCTAATGTTTCCCATGCATGTTTTTGCTCTTTCCTCAGACAATCTGTAATAAATCTTGTACGTAGTACCTCTTAAACATCTGCAGCCTTGAATAACTTTTTCTGTTTGTTTGTTTAGAGCAATTTTCTCTGTATTAGACCTAATGAAAATGGATATGGCAAACTTCGCTGTCAGTAGTATTAGGCCAAAATTAATGCAGCAGTCTGCTGAATATGAAAGAAAGAAGTTTCAGGAGTTTCTTGAGAAACAGCCAAGTATGACTTTGTTCCTTTCTTTCTTCCCCTCTGACCTCCCAGTAAACTGCGTGTCTTTGCTTGTAGATCATGAAAAGAAATCGGATTTTTTTTATAAGTGCTAGAGTTCATACGGTAAATGACAGCTTGTGCCCAAAACTGCGGTTTGAAAAAATCTGCCAGCAGAACAGTTCTGCACTTAGTACACTGGGGTTCAGTCTCATGTCACTACAGTGGAGAGCATAATTAGCTAGCATCATCTCACCTCTGATTTCCTGTAGCTGTGTGGTTTTTATTTTGTTTTAGATGCTCTGCTTAATGCAATAAATGAAATGCATGTCAGTAACTGATATCACGGGTATTAGTAACTCTTGGGATTATTTGGAAATTATTGGTGGAAGAACCTAACTTTGAAAAGGAATTCGCTTAACAAGATTTCCCTCCTCCCCCCACCCTGGTTCTTCCAGATTCTTTAGACTTTGTCACACGGTGGTTGCAAGAAGCAGCAGATGATCTTGCAAAGCTGAGATGTAAAATGTTGCCTCCCCACTGTAGCGAAGATGGTGCCACTGGCGGAGCTTCTGCCTTGTGCTCCACTGCTGTACAAAATCAGGCCTATCTGAAGCTCCTGAAGTGGGATCATGTAAACAGGCCTTTTCCAGAAGTAGGTATTTAACACAAAAATTGATTTCTGTGCTTGTTCTACTTTTCTGTTTCTGGGATATAACAGAAGCTGTTTGGATCTGTAGCCTTGCAACAAGTACAACACTAAAACATTTACCTCTTGATTGAGAGCTCTTGTAGCTCTTCTACTAAGTCCTTCTTTTTCAGTATTGAAATTACTTAGATGGAAGAGAGGAGTTAATTCTTTTCATTTTGTTCCTGATGCTCACCTGCTGAGCACGTGTTGCTCTTTTCTGTGTCTCTGTCTTAGCTTCACTGCTGTGAACAGGTAGGCGTCACAGTGTCACTTCACAGCCCAGCATTCTGACTTTATTTGGTGCTGGCTTCCTCCTCCTTTGCAGACACTGCTGATGGACCAGACCCGCTTTCAGGAAATACAGCTGGAGCTGGAGCAGCTCCTCTTGACTGGGACAGTCCTTCTGGTCACGTTCAGTGCGGCCGGCTCGGTGCTCGTTGATATGCCTGGATTTGCTGAGAAAATCAAAACCGTTGTCAAGGTGCTGCTGGCAGGCATGCATCTTCCGTGAGTACTGAATACTCCTAGTCACAGAGGTGGGTGTAGCTCTGGTTTCACCCTAGTAAACGATCCGTTTAAGCGCCTCGCCGTCTGTGGGCTGCAGACTATATAGAGGAAGTGATGGGGGCTTTTCATCAGCCCAGGCCGACCATTTTTATTCAGCTTACTCAGACAGAACTGTCTTTTCTTGCTCTGTTCTTTTCTGGTGCGTACATGCGCCTTTTTTCAGAGTATGTTTTTCATGGTGCCTGGTTGGCACATGAGAGCGCAGGCAGGTGACCGTGCTCACTGTTTGGGCCAGGCTCCCTCGAGAGTTTGAGTGTGGTGCAGTGAGCTGCTTGCAGATGTAGAATGATTGCTGTACCCATTCCGGGTTGATAACTGGTTTTTGCATTAGTCAGAGCTGTCTGTGTAGTAGGAAGGTCAGCACTTATTTGCATGGATTGTGCAGGCTGGAAATCTTTAATGCTGTCCGAACTCCTTGTTTTATATATCAACTTTATTTTTCATATATAAAAAATGTATTATTCTCTGTAGTTCTGGATTTAGCTGGATGATGCTCCTTCCATTACGTTTGATAAATAAGGCAACTAAATTGGATAGTCTATTTTTAAAAGGTGGGGGAAAAAGTGAACAACTGAAATAGCTAAGTAATACTCTACTCCCCATTCTGCAGCTCCTTCAACCTGCAGGAATCTTTGGCTACCATCGGTGAAAAGGTGTGTGCTGAAGTTAACAGCTGCCTTTCCCAGCATGGGTTTACACCGTTCTCAGCTGAGAGAGAGACGGGACTGAAAGGGCAAATCCAAGCCGTGGCCAATCCGGACAACACCATATGCAAGCTCATAGGTACGCTTTGACGAAAATTCTCTGTTCTCAAGTGACCACGCGTCTGTCTTTGTAAAGCTGTTGGTGGCATGTCCTGCATGGTTTCTCGTTTGATCTGTTTCAAATGCTTGTTTACTATGTTCAGGCTATCTGTATTTTACACGAGATTACACTGCTTCCGACTGACTGTCTCTTTTGAAAACAAACCAAAACCCTTGGTCCAATTTTTCCAGATTCTCGAATTCAAAAGTTTCTGGAGAATTATCTTGCATCTAGTCACCAGAAATCATTACCTGCTGTTCCCGGAGGATTAGGCCCCATTCAAAGAGAGCTGGAAGAGATTGCTGTCAAGTACGTTCGTCTTGTCAACTACAACAAAATGGTCTTCAGCCCTTACTACGATGCAATCCTTGGCAAAATACTGACTAAGGAAGAACCCCCACTTGTAGGGAAGGCAGAAGAATCATAAAACCACTTTGTATGCTACCAACATGCTATTGTCAGCTATTTAAAATTTGCACCAATTATTTGTCTAGGAAAACAGCTTTCCATGTAAATACTGGTTCTTTTTTATTCAATGGTGATGGTTGATGAGGAAAACACATGAGATGCAAAAGGGGTTCTGAGGTAAATGATGAGAGATGCATTTTTAATGTAAGTAGGCAACCTCAGGGGGAGGGGGGGAATGTCTTGGTAGTTTTCTGGCTGCAATTTTTAGATTTCTGAGCTGATGCTAGGTAGGACAAGTTTAAGAACCAAACTTTGTATTTAAGTGGCTCATTTTAGGGCATTTTACTCTAATTTACCATGAATTTTGTTTAGTTAATCCAGAGCAGATTAGCAATGGTCCTTCCCAGAAGGAGTGATTTGGCTTTAAAAAAAAAAATCTTACTTTAAAGACTTAAGATAGAACTCTAGATAAGAGAAAATTTAACAGGCAAAAAACAAAGCCAAACAGCACTTTATTGTAACATTATGGTTAGTATGGTAGGCTACTGGTTTTTTCTGCATTTTACTGCATTTTTAATAGCGTTTTTTTGCCGTTTACCTGCAGATGTTACAAAACACATAATATATTTTTGTAGCAAATTTTCTGGTTATTGGGTAACTGTCCTCTGCTATGTACAGTACTTCCAAAGGTGGCAATCTTATAGATTGCAGCTGTATTTATCTCTTGTAAAGACTTCAGAAGGGCAGAGCGAAAATGTTTTGATAAAAGTGGCATTTCTTACCTTTTTTTTTTGCTAGTAGTTTACTCCTTTTTATGTGAAATACTGATTTTAAAGTAAATCTTTGTCATTTTCAGAAGGTGGATTTAAAGTCTGTGAAACTTTAGGCAGAAAATTGTACTTGTTTTTTAAGACTACAACTGGAGATGGTTGCATATTCAATCATGTCTTCACAAGTATCCAGGAAGTGCAGAGCACTATTGGAAGTATAAGTGGTTTTAATGTACCGTGAGGAGTGGATGATTTAATGTTAGTTTGAATACACAGGGAATATTTTCAGTAGATTTTTTTCACTTTGCAGAGGTGTTCTTGAAATTTAAAATGTTTGTAAGTCTTTAGCTACCTGTTGTATAGACGAGTGTTTGCAGAAGAGCTCAATGATCTTACAGCCTTATTGCAATTTCAGTCTCAGCTAGGAGGTAAGTACATTTGAAATTTTCCTCTAGTTGAGCACAATGCTGTATTACAGTAATCAAAATTTGATGATTTTATGAAGGCAAAGTTCATAGTTATAAACAGTAAATGTCCCAAGTACGAGACTGTCCAAAATAGAATGTGTTGTCTTCTTTAAACAAACCCAACAAGTTATGTAAAATAAATAAAGGGCCCTTTTATTGCTAACATCCAGGTTCATTTTATTAATCAACTAGTCAACCCAACTAATAGAACATCTAGATTATGTATCAGTGCTGATGCTTCCCTTTCCTGTTTTCCTTTAAATGTCAGCGTGGATATAGCTGCACTAACTTTGAGTTTGGAGGAAGGTGGGATAAGTCAGACCTTTTATTGCGTATTAGCGTGCGTGACTACAAAACACATCTTTTCTCATTCGCTACAAACCCCATTCCCCAAAGGAAAAACCCACCACAACCCTGTCAGAGATCACCAGCTCAGACAAGTGATTTTTCTCTTGGCTAAATGTGCTCGGATAGTAAAATGGATGAAAATGGACATCTGTCTTTGAATCATTCATTGGTAACTCAAAAACAAGTAGGTTAGCTAGCCAGAAAAAAAAATAAAAATGAGTAGGTTTTTGGTGTGGTCTTGTTGTCTGACTCAGCAAAGGATACTACAGAGGTCTTCATGACTGCTGCATCTGCTTACCGTACTTTGTTATTAGTGCAGGGTCCACCTCAAGATACAGCCGGTAGCGCTGCAGCTCCAAAGAACTAACTCAGTAGTCTGTGTAACAGAAGAGCTACCAGAAATATTATTGCTAGAGACACAAAAAAAAACCCAAACAAGACAAAGCTGTTTTCACTTTTGTTAAATGAGGGCTGCAGAAGTTACAAATCGCTGCTGTTATTTTATTATTGCCTAGAAGCTGCCATTAAAGGCCCTTGTGAATTACGCATACTACAAAAATTCAGCTGCTGTAGGGGATGTAACTGAGGGATGGGGGAGGAACAACTTTGTGGTCAAACAACTTTCTCAGAAAAGCCTTTGAGAAGTACGTGACTGGTGCCAGAAGGAATAGGGCTGCATTAGCAACAGATAAAATAGTACTTGCTGAATCGAGGAGATGGCTGCTCCCAGTTATGGACTGGAGGGTCCGGACATCCACAACAGCCCACTCCTGTTGACGCTGACACGGCAGCAGGGACCGTGCTGCTGGTAGCGCATGCATATCGCTCGCAGGGTCGATACAGTACATCCCAGCTCTCCTCGCAGCAGGGCCTTGATCCCAAGGCTTCGTGTAGGAAAAATTGTGCAGCACCCACACCTGGTTCCAGCCTCCCCTCTGGGGGTGCGCATGGGGGGGACGAGTGCCTCCGTGGGGGGGTGGTGTGGGCCTTCCAGCAGTAACGATCTGCAGAGACTGCAATAAATGCTCACAAGTGCAACTGTGGATTGTCCAGGGTTGGGTTTTTTTTTTTAATGGTAGTGGTTAAGCGGTAGTTTCTGTGCATCCTCTGTGAAAGAAACAGGGACATACTATTAAGTGGCAAAGAAAAAAAGAAATTCTAGGATTGATAAGGCCAAACCCTACCTCTACGCGAACACTTCTGTGGTTATACATACGCTGTTGCACCTTTTCATGGGTAGACAGGCGTGCTGACCCAGAGTCATCCATACTGCTAGTGGTGGGAGTAGTTCTCAACGAGTATCTGAATTTCCTGCAGTCCGTGGCGGCTTCTGTGGTCTTACCAGAGCGCAATGCTGAGCGGTCAATTGCAAGTCAAAATCTAAAGTATGCCTCAAAACTGCTTCAGAAGTTCATGTGGTGTTTTTGTTAGCTTGTTTGAAAATAACAGGTTAAACTCTGTAGCCAATATATGAAGATTTAGCTTTGTACATTCAGTGGAAGACCAATGCAGTTACCCAGGAACAGACTGTGTTAGCTGGCACTCCTGGACAGCCCACCTTAGAAATAAGTACCGAGTTTGTCTTACGCTGCTGTCTTCTTTAAACAGTCATGGAATTAAAAGCAAAAGTATACTGTATCCTCTAGAAAAATGGGAAAAAAGCTAATTCTACTATGTATGCTCTGATCAAGTTCCTGTGATGGTCTCATTAACATTGCTTTTGAAGTGGCTGAGTAATATTTAAGAAGTAACTTGTTGTGTTTGAATAAAACCAGAATGAGGCATGATGTTACGGATATCCTTTTATTTTAAAGGAATGTTTTTTTCCATTTTCAACTACAAAACAGATCCCATACATTCTGCCATAAATAAAAATCAACAATAAGGCAGGACACTACATGAACAAACTGAGAACAACTGTTTTCCAGAAAACGTGGATTAAAAATGCTTCACAAGTATAAGCCATCCAGTTTTTAAAATAAAACTGTTGAGAACCCACAAGATTTCAAGTGGTAGATGTGAACACCCTTGAGGAACAAAATGCAGTTTTGACATTTTGCACTTTTGGCTTCAAAAACCTAGTTTTGTTCAGAGCACATTCTAAGGTTGTTCTGGCTGTTTTCGGACTAAGAACCATACGGGAGAAGAGGCACCACAGTAACAAAACCATTTTCAAGATTTTTTTTTCGTTTATTTGCAGCTGTCCCTTTTAATTGCTTGACTTTTAAGAGACTGACGGACTCAATGCAAGTCTTTGTCTATCACAGTAGAACTCCAAACTTGTTTCACCGGATTCTCTTTTGCTGTCGTGCTCTGTAAATGTCATGTACAGGGGGAACTACAGATCCTTTCTCCTCATCGTCGTCGGAATCTTCATGTGGTCTCTTCACAGCCTTATTGAGCATAGCATTATTTTCCACAGGTCCATTGCCTTCCACAGCTATTTCAGGTAGGCCTCCGGTAATTATGCGTACAGCTTCATCAACAGCTTTAGAAAGGAAAAAGATTAATTTAATTTGTGAAGCTAAATTCCCTGATTAGAAATAAGCACGCAAACAGGGACACCAAGATAGCGACGTCATGGAGATTTCAGGAACGAGCCATTTTCCTACCCTCTTCTCCTACAAACATTAAGAATTAAGCCTCGACTGTCTAAAACTCCAAGCTGTGGCAAGCACTAATTATAAAGTAAGGGCTGCTGCTTCAGCTTGAGAGCTCCCTTTACACAAGTAGTGAGGTCATTTGCAAGCTTAATAAAACAGGAAAGCCTGTTGGGGAAACAGGATAGCTGGTTCATGATTCATCAGAAAGTATGCATGGCAAGTCAGCTGCCGCTTATCAACAGAGAAAGCTTCAAAAATACCATCTATTATTTAACTAGATGTTTTATTTTCACTCTCAAAGAAATTAAATCCTAGCTTGCTCTACCTCTGATCATTTGCTCCTTAAACTAACAGAGGGGGTGAAAAGTAGCATCATCTGCCGTAGTTTACATGAAGCCTTGAGTATGGATCTGTCTTGTATTTCAGAACTCCACCTTCTTTGTAGGAGCTCAGAAAACATGGCTCTTAAATTGTTCTCAAGCAGTGCAACCCCGTGGATTCACAGTTGTGCCTACCAGTGAACTTACCACACTGCAAATCTGTAAAATTTAATGTTACGGTTACAACGCTGCTAGAAATAATGCCTTGCTTCTTTTAAGCAATATTCTGAAAAATGTTCATTTCTTTCTTTTAATGGTTACCACCAAATGTTATTAAAGTAGCAGCTGGTGATTTGCAGCTTTTTGACTTTTTGTTGATCTCCCCACAGTTACAATTCCACCCTTTGGATGTAGCCAGTTCAACAGTATGCTCTTAAATAATAATTACACATCTGTAAGCGAGGCCTAGATTTAGACAGCAATATCCATATGTAAAACAGAGCCTCACGCA